CAATGAATAGCAGGGACGAGTGCCCGGAGGTCATACGCGACCTGACCCCGTATGTTCGCATCAATTTCTAATGTGGGATGGTGCAGTCATTAACCATGTGGGACTATAATCAGCTGTTCTAAAGTTCCTCATTGGAAGTCACGAAAAAAGCTGTGTTTTTTGAGAAGCTGTTGGTCATGTAATTGCCATAGCGATTTTTCGTTTTTTGTGTTATTGAAGCGTTTGGCCCAGTAGATTGTATATCAGTATATATACCCTTCCACGCTCTGAAGAAGGTGAGACTGGCGAAACGTCACCTACTGTTGTATTGTATTGTGTTTCTCTATGGAAGTAAATGTATGCTGTTTAAAAACCTCGTGATTGCTGAACAAGAAAACGAAAGATGCTTTGTATTTTTACTGGCCAATTCGGCATTATTATTTTGCATAAAAGGATAAAAAGCTCTCGGCGTTGATCAATCCATAAGGGATAGGCCACGCGTAGGACTTCATTAAGCACCGTTTGGAGGTAATTGGATGCATATCTGGGTTTTACAATGACTCGCGGAGGCCTACGGATGTATCGAGTCAGTGCTGCTGTCCTCCCAGACAAGTCTGCTACCAATTTGCCGACCCCGGAGGAATAGAATGCTTCGCGGACCATGGGCACGGGAACCGATTCCAAGTGTGTGTTGCAGGGTGCCTTTGACTACTGCGCCACACGCGCCCTATTAGTTCTTTTGCACAGCAAACAGAAACTCATCTATTCCAAGGTAAACATCGTCCAATAGTAATAAAACAACTAGCTCAAGTGATTGTTCAAAAAGCACATGCTTTTCGTCCACCTAGATCCAGCAAAAGCACCTCTAATTCGGAAAGCCAACGAACTCTGGGTCATTTTTTGTTAGGAAATACATTAGAGGACTTGCTCACAACACTCCATAAGTCATTAATAGTGTGTAACATGTATTTAATACTCAACAGTTAACTTATGATGTTTAATTACTAAAGGAGGAGGGTTTTAGCGCAATGGTTAAACGAGCTCTCCATCGCTCCAGGTTTGGAAAACTGATGCCAGACCTGTCTAAAAGGATAAAATGACTGACTTGATGCGTCGATAACCCTCTATCTACTATGCTTAATGAAGTCTAATGCATAACTCATCCCTAAAGGATTGATCGATTCCGAACGCTTTGTCCTTTATCCTCTATTGAACACATTATAAAGATCAGTTTCTATGTTGATTCATTTATTTATACATTTGGTCAGTTAGTTATGATGCACTCATCACATTTACGCTACTTATGATGTTAAGAAAAAAGGCTTTCATGACGATAGAAAACATTTAGCTGACTAGATATGTGCAGTCGGTGGTGTTCGATTCGTAGTCGTATTCAACACCATTCAAATTCTGTTCCATGGCTGTAGTATAGGAACCTCTGAAATCAGTCATTATAAATATATTAAAGCTTTGTTTTGTCAGAAATCACCACTTCGACTTGAAGTCAATACATATGCACAATTTCTATGAGATGTCATGTAGTTTGAAAAATTGGGTGATGCAACTTCACTAGGAGACAAAATGCGTATCGAAATCTATTAAGAATTTCACATAAAGAACGAACTTAAACAGAGAAACAGATGAGCGATAAAAGTTGTAAAAATTGATAAAATGTTGTTGCTCACAGCTAGATGCTTATTTGGTGGTTCTCACTCTCTTAATCATACCTCGTTCGAAGCAGTTTTGGCTTCAGCTTGAGTGTCTGTCGCCACTCACTGGCATGACAAATGGAATAAGACCTTGTTTTCATTGGATTCCCGAAATCACCGTGTTAGAGGATCATTAGTCGCCAGTCCTTTTAAGGTTCTTCTTGAACGGCAGTGATTCTTATAACTGAGGCGGTTGCTACTATACAACCGAGGCGTTCCTACTATAAGTTTATCAGCAACTAGATTAAAGATTATGAACGGAGATTTCCAACGGGTCATGGAAACAAGAAAGCCAAATTACCCTAACAGAGATTTGTAAAACAATATAAATACAAGTAAAATTGTTAAAAATTGTACTGCAAGATAACTTCAGCGAGGAGGAAATCCATTCAAGAACTACTGAATAAATACAAAGAGGTATTTGACTCATATTTAATTAGATGGATAGTAATTGTTCAGGTTTCAAACATTCGAAATGAGATGGGAGCACATTTTACTGCATATTGTATGAGATAGAAATAAAGAGAAGTCAATTTTTTTTCTATAAAACTGTTTGCTACGCGCTATTGTTCAGTATGTCTGAAGCTATTACATCATGATTGGGCTTCATTAACGGTTTATGAACGAGTAGTTAAAAAGCAATGAATATAAAATGTGACTTGTACCATCCATAAACGGCTTAATTCGCTGAATACTGATCCATAAACTGACTTCCACGCCACAAAGGCGAAAAAGTGAGCTAGGAAGAAAATGGAATAGCGCGGGTGTGCAGTTATATGTGGGTGTGAGTAGGTGTGCCAAGTGTATATGTACATATATGCTATATATGCATATGTTTCTCGAAGAAACTCTCGAATAATGTCTTCCTGTATATGTGTATGTATACGTATATGCATATGTACATGCATATATACATATATATGCCCACGGATCGCCTTCATATGAAATACCGATGGCCGGTTAGTCATGAGGCTATGTGGCGCGTCCCCAGGTGGCGGATAGGGGGGTCAATCGCGAACCAAAAGCGACCTTCGCTTCCCTGAAACGCAGGTGGATCCATGGGATGGACTCCCTGTTTCGGATGCGAATTGTATTCTACGAGTCAATTCAGCAAAAGCCTGCAATCAAGTGACAGAGAAGTTTATGGAAGGCGGTTAGAAGTCGCCTCCAACAAATAAGCTCCATAACCACTCTGAGAGAGCCTGGCGGGCTACCCCTGAGTATACCCAGCCCCCACGTTCAGAGCCCAGCATGTTATACGTGGGTATCAAAATGCTAAATACAGTTTTAAAAAAACGGGTCTCATTCCCCTCACCCTGAAACAACCCCCAATTTCGCAGCGTTAGGTAGGACGAGTACGGAGAGGCTGCTAAAATCCCAGGGCCAATGGCAGCTGCCTGGATCACGAAGAACTAAGGTGACGATCTGTACCTATAATGCACGTACACTTGCATCCGAGTCCTCGAAAGAAGACTTGCTCATGCAAGCAAGAATGAAAAGGTACGACGTCACCGGCCTGGCAGAGACGAGACGACGCCACCCATTCAACGCCATCTATGACACCGGAGAAGAGCTGTTCATTGGAACATGCGACAGTAGAAGAGTCGGCAACGTCGGCATTCTCGTCAACATGAGTTTGTCCATGAAGATTCATTCGAAAAGCTTTCAACCCGAATCGGACGTTTACGATTAAAAAGATGTGGATCAATAACGGCTTTGAAACTCGTTGTCGTTTACGCGCCGAAGTCCAGCTATGACGAAGAAGAAGGATAAGCGTTCTATATGGACTTGCAGAAGCTCTACAAAGAACACCATACCTTCTTCAAGGTCATCATTGGAGATTTCAACTCCAAGACTTGACCAAGAAGAACGCCTGAAGAACGTGACATTGGGAATCACGGATTAGAATGGAACGAACAGGCGAACGGCTCTCTGAGTTTATCATTACGACCAAGACCATCGATGGTAACTCGCAATCCCAAAAGTTCCACCCTCAAAGATGGACGTAGGAGTGTCCCAGTGGAGGGTAGCATAACAAAATAGACCACATCATAGTAAATAGAAGGGTTTGTCTAACCGATGTAGCAGTTGTCCCAAAATTCTACACGGGATCAAACCATCGCCTCTTTCGTGCAAGATTCTATTTCTCGTGGAAAGGAGAAAAAGCCGCTAAATTCAAAAACCGAAGTCCCAGAGCCATCATATACTGGAACTTATTCAATTCACTAGTCGACTGTTGGGAAGATGCAATTGTCGATAATATCGACGAAGAATATGATCGGCTTATTCAACATCTTCACGTTAGCGCTATGAAAGCTGAGAGTTCGAAAATCACCACGAGACGTCTGTCTCCAGAAACTCTCGAGCTGATACGCCAGCGTGGAATCGCATGAGGTGAAGGCAACCGAGTACTAACGTCGGAACTTGCAAAACAGTGCAGACAGGCGATAAAAGAAGATCTTAGAGAGAGAAGAGCAGCAGTAATGGCCGAAGCTGCAGAGGCTACGAAAAGCATTCGGAAAGCCCACCAAAGCTTCGCCAATTATAAGACAAAGATGATTGCACTCAGACGCCCAGACGGAACAGTTACAGAGTTCAGAAATGCAACGGAGAAAATCATTCGCGAATACTACTCAGATCTCTTCGATAGCCACGTCCACTTTTCGTCATATAAAATAAAGAAGGATTGATATGTTGTACCACCGTTTCTCCCTTCGAAAATCCGACATGCCATTTCATAGGTGAAAAATCGAACAGCACCAGGTCTAGACAGGATAAGACCAGAATACCTGAAGAACTTTCCGCCAGTCCTCAAAAACACGCAGGCGCGGCTTTTCACACGTTACCTGTCTGAATGCAAGGACCCCGCTTAGTGGAAGAGCAGCTCTACAAACTTTCCACTTGATAAAAGCCAAACAGGATTGACAGAACACTGAGCGAAGAACAGTCATGTGAGCAAGCAGAGTTTCGAAAAGAATTCAATACCGCTGACCACATTAACACGATAACAAGATTCAACAAACTATCGTGAGAGTACGAAAGACCGCTCTGCTTCCCTTTCGTCGATTTAAAGAAGGCCTTTGACTCAATTGAAATAGAAGCAGTCATGGAAGCCCATGATAGTCAAGGAGTCCTTACTCAGTACATGAAGATTCTTCGTGAGATGTACAAAAATTTTACAACCAAGATATCACTTTCTACAACGATATTAACATTAATGTCAAAGGCGGGGTTAGACAAGGCGATACCACTTCGCCAAAATTATTTACCGCTACCTTCCAGAACGTCATGCGAACATTGGAATGAGATAAGATGGGAGTGAAAACCCATGGTCGGCAGTTACACCATCTTCGCTTTGCTGATGACATCGTCCTTGTAATACCAAACATTAACCAAGCGGAACGTATGCTTGCCTACTTTGATAAAGCCTGTGGAAAGATTAGTCTTCGACTAAATCTCACAAAAACGATGTTCATAAGGAACGGATTGGTTTCGTATGCCCTATTCATGCTCAACGGAACGAATATCTCCGAATGCTCCAGTTATGTCTTTCTAGGGCGGGAAATCTACATAATGAAAGACAGCTTCAGAGTTAAGCAGAAGAAAACGAGCGGCTTGTGGAGCTTTCAAGAGCAACGAGGATGTAGTGAGGAGAACAAGGAACATCCGACTCCGTGCCCATCTTTCCGCCCCAACGGTACTCCATGCCCTAATGTACGCGTCAGAAATCTGGTCGCAGCGTAAGCATGATGAAAGGTCACTCAGCGTTATTGAACGCGCAGTGGAAAGGACAATGGTACGAGTATCCCGTGTCACAGAACTAAGTGAAGGAATTCGCAGCTCCGACCCGCCTCAACGATCAAAAATCAAGGATGTCGTTCTATACGCCAAACTGTCCAAGATAAGATGGACCAGATACATAATGCGCATGAACGACAACCGATGAACAGGAGCCGTTAGTGACTGGATTCCTCGAGATGTCAAACGCAATGCAGGAAGATCACCGACCCGACGGTTAGAGTTCTTCACGAGAAGCCTGGAAGAAATATGTGATGCACAATGATTCCCTAGAGCGAGCAGAATCTCTTGGGCTGTTCATGCACACGACTGGGAAAAGTGGAAGATTTACTGGCGCCCGTTCGAGTCACTCGACGATCACCGGGACTACAGTTGATCCATTATTACTAGCCGAGCTCCTTACTAAAGTACTGACTGTATAAAGGTTTCGTAATCGATCCTTCATGTTTGAGCGCTTATAAGGCCAGCTAAGGAACTCCTATGGTCCTACTGCTCAGTTGCAACAATGAATATGGCAAGTTCAAAAATAGCGTTTTATACAGACATTTCGGCAGATATTTTATAAGCACTTTAGTCATATTTTGTTACCAGAACGATTTATGACCTACTCATTTCATTTTATTTGCAACGGAATACCCTTGTTTACTTTTAAAAGGAAGACAACGAATGGAAATGACAGCCATCTCGGCTTGGCGAGCCTGCTAATCATGAAATCAATCGTCGTCGTATATCACGCCATCATACTACGATGAAGCGAAAAGCGCAATTTATGACCGGTTCATCGAGAATTCATTATGAATAGTGTCATGCTAACGGTTGTCCCATGTTGTGGTGGTAAACGCGTTAGCCCTCGAATAGGGTAGTAGTATAGCAACTATTCTCAGAATAATTTCTATTTCTTTCTATATATATTTGTATATTTCTACTACTGTATGTTTCAGTATTAAGGATCATATCCACTGTTTCTCAAGTTGCCTAGCAAATGTCGTAGTACGTAAATATTTCGATCGGATCTTTAGCAACTTCGATCGCTGTAAACAGTCTTGTTATGCAAACCTATCTTTGCAATCTGAACTCATTGTTTGTTATTACTGTCCAAAAGTCATCACGTGTACAATAACAAGAAGGGCATGAGGATGTTTGCGAGAGCAGTCCTCCACCAGATGATATGTGGTTTTAGGAGGATATGGAGACGGTAGCCGACGAACGTATTCGGTAAAGATGCTGGACGTGTGCCAAATACCGCCTTCTCCAGAAGCATATAAATAGCCTCGTTAATTGTTATCCAGGTTCGCCCTTGTCCAGGTTCGTCGACTATCCAGGTTCACTCGTGTCGGGGTTCGCCGTCTCTTTAGATCCGTACCGTATTGGTCTCGTGTGTCACCAATGTAGGTTGTCGTAGTTGTTTAGTCATACTGCACGTAGTCATTACTGTACATTAACTTCATTTCGTCATATCATTGTTAAACGACGGTTGAGAACTGCACATTAGTTTAGCACCACCGCCACTACGTCACGCTTTCCATCAGTCCAGTGTATCCTCATCATCATCATCATCATCCCCATCCTCGTGTCAATGATCATTGTTTATCAATTGGTCTGCGGTGTGTTGTCAGTAGCGGCGGCTATTCTTAAATGCGTTCGGTGTGAGACGCCATCGGTGGCATGTACCATTCCTCCCACACGGTACGCCATGCGTACAAGGCCGCTGGCCGGCCAACTTATGCTGTGTATTTGTTAAGCCGCTAAAGGCTTATCATTTCTCAGTCGTTATCTTTCTGGCCTATAATCTCATAGGCAATGGTGGAACCCATGGATGCTCAAACTTCACGCTGCAGACATATCGTTATCGAAGAGCAGCCGCCTGACCGTGTTCCGCAGATGTCTCATCTCGTTCGTAATCACTTCCACCACCGATGCTTAGGTAACTTACTATCCTCTTCGATTAATGTGCAAGTGACCCAGCCGCTGCACATATGATCTCTAGCTTAGCCTAATTCAGGGCTCGTCTGCATCTCACTCTTCTGTTGTTCTATCCCTTGGCATCTGAGCTACTGTACAGTGCGGGCGCCATCGTTCGTATCCCCTTACTTGTCATTGTTATCAAGTTGCTGTTATCATAGTACTAATGTTGTCATAGTATTATTTACATTACTCTTACGCCTTCGTAAGTCTCACTTTAGTAGTAGGTACAGCACCTCATAGCCTTGAACTTGCCTTATTTGTGCGTTAGTAGTTCTCCGTCGATATTAGTGTTGTATTGGTGTTGCATTTATGTATACAAACGGTTTAATTACCCAAGTTTGAGCAATTGTCCTGTACAACTACGAAAAGTCCTGCGTAGTATTTATCTCACGAAATCGAGCATTCTGCTAAAAGCTAGTGATTATTCGGTGCCGAGAACTGACTCGAGGGCCTATTTCCGACTAGCAACTGCAATAAATAGAGCGTTTGATCCCCACCGCAGACACCTGCTGTTCGGAGTTTTGCAAATATCTCAGCATCATTGTGGTTGTATCGTACAAAATATGCTTCCGTGAGAAATTATAAAAGGCAGTGAATAGAATGTCAACACTGATGTTAGTGTTATCACAATCATAATATAAATGCGTGATGCCAATAATGTGAAGCTAGTCAATGTTGGAGGTTTGTTATTGTCTCTTAATCGTCTATGTCATGGACTTGAGTAAAATAGCTTGAGCACAAAATGCTACGTCAACTGCAGGAATACTTAAAGAAAAATTTTTAAAAAATGATGATGAAGCATCAATATGGAAGGAGATGTATGAATTGCAGAAATCTAACAAACCGGTAATGACATCACTGCGATGTAATTCACCGCCATTATTGTGTCTATCACAGCCAAAATGCCAAAATAGAACGCGGAAGATTTCCTATAAAGCTGAGATGAGAAATTTACTATTCATTAGAATTCAGGAAGATGGAAGTTCTTGATACTTTATGGACTCATTTGTTAGAAACACTATAGTAAAGAATGTGTTGAAGATGATCGAGAGAATGGCGATGAAAGTGGCGAACACACCGATCAAGTAGATCTTCACCTCGACATGCTCGGTTCCCTGGAAAATAAGTCACATATGTTAACTGTAAAATATTCTGTTATTTCTTTTTGCAATTCTCGGTTATTGCAAGACTTCTTTGGTCTGTTCTTATTGTTAGGCATTTAACACCAGATTTATGAAACATTTGCTGGTGAATCGTTGATGATGATAATATTTCAATATATGAGCTTCTGTTTGACCAACACGAGGTCGAACCAAAGTCACATCCCTAACGACTGCATTTTCAGCGAGTGAAATTGTAAACGCGTCGTTTTCTTGTTCAGCAATCACGAGGCTTTTAAACAGCATACATTTACTTCCATAGAGAAACACAATACAATACAACAGTAGGTGACGTTTCGGCAGTCTCACCTTCTTCAGAGCGTGGAAGGGTATATATACTGATATAAAATCTACTGGGCCAAACGCTTCAATAACACAAAAAGACGAAAAATCGCTATGGCAATTACATGACCAACAGCTTCTCAAAAAACACCGCTTTTTTCGTGACTTCCAATGAGGAAGTTTAGAACAGCTGATTATAGTCGCACATGGTTAATGACTGCACCATCCCACATTAGAAATTGATGCGAACATACGGGGTCAGGTCGCGTATGACTTCCGGGCATTCGTCCCTGCTATTCATTGTAGGGTTTTTGGCATTTATCCAAAAAGCCTCAAGGAGTTTTCGCGCTGGTGTTTTGGACTCCTGTGCAAGGATATTGACTTTTACTTCAAAATGGTCTACTCTATGCTTTTGTATCCCATGTGTGCCTAGTGGGGTGCTTCGTCTTAGTTTTCGTTTGCCATT